CAGTAAACAATCTTAATGTCATTTTTTTATCAATTTCAAGATCAATATCCTACATTTATTATTGCACAATAAATGAGAAACATTTGGACACTGCAACTATTGAAGATAAAAAGAAATGTTATAAAGTTTTATCAAAATATCAAGTGTTTCTAAGGAAGTAACTTCAGATCATTGGCTAATCTATCTAATGAATATCTAAGCTGATGATTCAACAGTATATGAGTGCATCTCCAAAACTCTAGATGACCAGAGCCTGGCAGTCAATCTCTTCTCTGACTTAGCTCTAACAACTCAATGGAGGAAAAAATATGGCTGATCACATTCAAGTCTCAAAAACCAAACAAATGACATTCAATCATCACCAAGTGGAACTTAAATTTTTGCCTATCAGAATGAATGTATGTTCTCTCAGGGAACCTGTCTTGAATGCCTATTAGAACTTAATCCCACCCCAGACCACAAGTGGAATTCATATATACAATCCATTACTAAAGATGTTGGAAAAATGGTCAGTTCCCTGTACCAGTAAGTACCTGACTCCTCTTGCTATTCTGTATCATTACAGGAGTCATATTAGGCCAAAAATGAGGTACTGCTGCCATATATGTGCAGAAGCTGCCACGTCTTCATTTTCCAATCTTGAGTTCAAAAGTATTTCTGTATGTTTCAAGCCTCTTGCTACTTTATCACTATTTTCATGGAAAGTGTTCAAACTACATTCCTTAGTTCTATTAGTTCAAACCTTCATGGTTAGACCTGCCATGTCACACACACTGAATCAAAGCCATCTTCATTCTGTTCATATTCCACTGGTGAGATGCAAGTTCCACTCAAGCAGCTTCTTCATCTAGGGTTAACCATTATTCCCCAGATATCCCTATAAACTGTGCCTGTTACTCTGTTGCCATCTACCTCAAGTAGCTCTTGGGCTTTGTACACGAACAATATTATATAAAAAAAAAAAAAAAATCTTTAATAAATCCATGCAAATGTTAACATTTACATTTTTTTTTTATTCTTAATTAGTTTAAGAGTATTTAACCCTCTTATTAACATAAACATTATATTAAATAGAAATCTAACAAGAGAATATTTATTGACAAAAAAAAAAAAAAAAAAAAAATGAAGAAGGATCATGTAAAATAAAGGGAATGGGATGTTCAGCAGGACACTACTGAATGTTAGAAACATTGCTGCCAATGAGGGAGAAGAAAATACATGAGAAACAAAAAAAAAAAGTCAAAACAAGAACACTATAAGAAAAAGATTACTGAAAAAATTGAATGTATGTGTATTCACTTAGATTAAAAAGAGATGTTAAGGGTTTCATTGTTTGTATTATGTATGCAATTATAAAAGTAGCAAATGATAAAATATGCAGCAAATGCTTGCTCATGTATGGTAAAAAAAATCTTTGCTCTCAGGTCGTGTGTGGAAAAAAGAAAAGATAAATGAATAGAATAGAATTGTAAACATGTTAATCAAATGTGATTAAGTGTCAGTAAAATTATGCTAAAGAAAATAATGATTAATATTTTATCTGAAATTTAAAAATAAAATTGAAAGATGTGAAAAGGGGAATATATGTATGATGATGTATAAGAAAAAAAAAAAAAAAAAAAAAACTAGTGAAAAATGAAACTGAATCTAAAGAATTTATATTTCCAGGCAAGTTCAGAAGTGTGTTTAAATGAATTGCTTCTTGACCGGACAGGAACACATTTTGACTGGGTAAAAGTAATAAGTGCCTAAATATAAATTCTTATAAACTGTGATCAGACTTTTGTACAGAAAGTATGTTTGAACTAAAGAATGTAATGTCTACTATTCAGGTGATTTTTCTTTCATATAAATATAAACCAAATAAGCTTGCTTACACTTCATTGAGAAACAGACATTTTTCTTTTAAAATGATACAGAGTAAATGAATTTGATGAAACAGATTTAATGTGATTACATCATTTTTTTTTTTTAAAAACCATCCTTTCTAGCCACCTTATACAAATGGATGCTAGCAATCACCGATTCAAAAATACAAATTTACAAAGACAAAATAACAATTTTAGGTGAATGAATGATTCTGAATAAACAAAAGGAAGAGGTAATTTATTTAGAATATGTTATCTTTTTGCTTAGATTTTGTTTTTATGTGCTAACACAAATAAATAAAAATTGATAGATAGAAACTCAAAGAGAAAGGTAAAATTCATTAAACAATAAAACAATGCCCCAAATTATTCAGATTATGCAAATATTTTTCACTTTTTCAACTCCAGTGTATGATGATGATTAGTGAGTCTAGTGTGGTCCCTATCAGGTCCCCATATACTTATGGCTTTCTGTCAAATTAAACTTAGTAAATACCAACAGAAAGTTGTAAGAGAGAATCATATTGGATTCTTGCAACAAATCTTGTTTTTATGAGGAAAATATTTAGTAATAATAATAATAATAATAAAAACAAAAACAGATTAATAGCCTTTTTCATTATAACTGAAGAGTTCAACAAAAATCCAACAAAGAAATGCCTTTGAATCAGCCTCACAAAAGCCAAAAAGAAAATTCAACATAAATAACCAATGGAAGCAATCATACTGAACTTATTCTTACATGGGGAAATTTTAAATATCAATGTGTCTTAAGTAAATCGTTAAAATCCTTGAGAAAAAAAAATTCTAACTTGCTAATAAAAAACCCTAATGAATATAGTTATTGAGATTTTAAATATATATAAAAAAAAAAAAAAATCTTATAGATACTTGTACTATACTAACTTTGACCCAAGACTATATTCAGAGAAATGAAAGTATTACACAGTAATGGATTAAAGATCAAATGCAGATCAAATATGGATCGGAATCCAACATAAAAGAACAAATAAGAAACATATATCAATCTAACATGTTTTACTTTTATTAAAGCTTCGTCAGAGATTGCTCAATTGATATATAAGTTTTCTACTTGATCTTTTAGCAATATAATGGAGTTGTAAGGGAAGTAACTTTCGAATGAGTTTTAGAAGCTATATTATAGGAAATCTTGATTTCTCATAGCAATAATAAAAGCATTGAATTAGGAATTGTGAAATTTAAAATATCCAATTATTAGATATTGGGAGGATTACTAAACTTTATAAATGCAATTTACACAAAAGACAAACTATGTTCCTTAAAAGCAACAAGCCAGCCAAAACATGCTTGCAACAAACAGACAGTCACCATACTGGGATAATAGATAAATTATAACAATGATAAAATAGAAAATCAGATTAATACAGCAACAAATATTTCAAAACTAGCATGAAATCATAATACAATGAAACATGGACTTAACTTGTGTATAACACATGTATATGCAATATATGAAATCTGTATGTAGATACAACTGTTCAAACAAACATACCTAATGAAGTCATCAATATAATCAAATTCTCTAGTTTCAGATGGTAGCAGGTTTTTAAAAAAGTAAAAAAAAATCTACCCACTTAAATCATCAAAATAAGAGAACAACATATGCAACGATTTTACCCCTACCTCTTTCACTGCAATTCCAGCATCCTTTTCTTTTTTTTTTTTGTTCATAGAAATAATTTAGGAAATTCAGGAATATCACAAATAATGCAAATGTTATCCAAAACTATGTGCAATTAACATACTTAGCCAATTTTTTGCAATTCTGATTTTAATCTACAATCCTAGTTTAACAATATTTATATAGTACTTCAAAATTCACTATAGTCAGGCTTTCAAGAAGTGAAAATATCAGATGGTAAATGCGAAAACATAAAAGGCACACTTTAAAAAAAAAAAAAAGTCTTGTTATACCAGAATGTACTTTTACAATTCTTAAACAACTTTAATATAACTGCAAATTATAAAGGACAAGGTAAGAGACTAGAAAGATATACTATTTAGTCAACATAAATGTTTATGTATGCATATGTAAATACATACACACATGCATTAATACATTCAGCAATAGCATGCATTTTGTGATATCTTCATTTTACATTCAGTATTTCATCTAAAATGAAAGCATAAATTGCTGAAGTATATAATCATAAGTAAACAAATACATAAACATAAGGTCTTATATATAGAAAATGTAGCAGATACTAATGCAAAAATATTTTTGTTTTAGTATCAATCATGAATGAGAGTTGATATGAAAAAAAAAAAAAACTCGAGTTTTTATTTTTTAATTATTCACACATAAAAACAAATAAACAGAAAACTTTTAAGTTCTTAATCTCAAAGATAAATAGAAACAGTATATTTCAGAATTATAGATCCAGAACTTGAACAGCTGAGATTAAATAAACGTTTGTAACAGGTAATTTTTAAAAAAATTACCTCAAATAAAAATCAGCATCAATCAATCAATAAAAAGAGTAATTGGAAAGTTTTTCAAGTTACCAATGGCTGATATAACAGCTCTAAACAGCAATATAGCTAAGAAAAAAGAAATCAAGCACTAGGCTTTATTTTTAAAGCTTCAAATATAAAGAACAATATGTAATGAAAATTTAGCAGTAGAAAATATTTTAAATAAAATTTGCAAGAGATACATAGATTAGTGTAATAAGGCTAATTTTATGGCCAGGAGTAACAGAATGGAGGGGAGAAATGATTCTAAAATAAACAAACTTTGTTCATCAACACTGTCTTGTTAACCTATAGAGATAAAGAGTGGGAATACATCCAATAAACTTGTAAATGGACTAAACTGTTATGTGTGCAAAAGAATTGTTTTCATATCTACTAAAACACTTCATTCTTTGAAAATAAATATATAAAAACTTTAAGCAACATTAAAGACTGAAGTTCAGAAAATATTGATATTTAAGGGTCACTGCAATATGTTAATGTTATGTTTAAAAAATTCTTCCATTAATAGAAGAGAAATTATTACTTTAAAATATTGTGTTATATTAGTAAAAAGGTGAAAATTAAATTCTCTAGTTGAAAATTGGTCAAGATATACGCAACAAGACAACTTACATGTCTCTTCTTGTCATAATTCTCATAGTACAATTTGTAAAACTCATCACCAGCCGTACAAGCTTGATCAATCTTTATCTTCAGTTCCTGTGAAAGAAAACAGAAGCCTATCATTATAAACTGTTCAAAGTGTGATAAACTGTAAACTGCTCTTCCCAACATTAGCATACCTGTTACTTATGTGATTAATGAGAATGGAGTCAATGAAACAAATGCAGTTTACATATTTATGATTATTTAATTACACATTTCTTTTGGAAATGAAATGCAGGAAGAAAGTAAAGGCATGAAAGGGATAATTTCAATGTATGTCCCCACACTACACATTGTTGTTTTGTGCCAATTTTTCCAGAAGAGAAAATTCCTTCCCCTGGCATCCCTATAAACAGAAATCAGCCACCTGAACACACAAGGCAGAACAAGTAAGAGTTAAAGAGCTGTATGGTTATTTAAAAAAAAGAATTGAAAGATGAAATATTTCTAACATATCCATCCATTTCTTTTTTCATATAAGTACCGATAGCCTGGACTGGGTTCAAGCAGAATTATGCAATAGAATTGATTTTATAAAGTTCCCATAATTAAAAACAAGAAATTGAAATTAAATTAAAATTTAAGATTCTGTCTGTTTATACTGGAGTGTTTACAGAATCCAATAAAAAAAACATGTACATAGTACATTTTTAAGAATATGTATAATTTTTTTGTAATCACAAATTCTAAAAAGTTTGATATTTTAATTTATTACATTGGTATTTTTATTTAACATTAAAAATTATCAATATTTGAAAATGGGCCTTCTTTTTTTTTTGCAGGATGCCATTGAAAAATAAGTACCCAAAATAGTCAGCTTTGAACAATAAACCAATTAAATATAATGCACATTTTTAGATGATCTTTTGTATACTAAAAAGTTTTCATTGTAAGTAAAATATGAAGCTTTTCACTGAATGGCAACTTGGTAATTGATATACATCTAAAGCAATTCATGTTTACTATAATTTTAAGAATTCTAATTAAAGACATTTTAAGTCATATTTCCATGAAGGAAATATTCATATATTATTTACCAATGGTGGCCACTAATTATCAAAGTTGAACCAAAATAAAGTCAGTTTTTTTTTTTAAAATGCTATGTCCCTTTAGAATGTAGGCAATCATGACTGTATATCTGTAAGTTTTCATACATTGATTAAAAAGTGAGTGTGTTCCAATTGCTTTTCCATGGCTTGGACTTCATAATTTTCCTTCTCTTAGGCTGATTGTCAATCAACGCCATACAACCAAATCTACCCCGCTATTTAATCTGGGAAGAAGGGGACATAACTTTCTCAGAATTTGAATTCTGTTCACCAATTCCACTTTATCCTTTAACACTACCTACATTATCCATCAATACCAAATCAAGAACAAAAATATATATATAAACTGATGTTTGTAACAAACAGTTGAAGATTTTGAATACAAAAACAGGATAATACAATGATTTAAGCTAAAACCAGAAGCAGCAAGAATAAGCAAAATTCAGTTGAATATGAAAATTCTAATATGAACAAATCTACCAATATAGTGAAAATTATTATGCAACTGAATTGTTAAAATTTCCAGTAAGACTGCTAAATGAATTTGATGGCAAGATATTAATATTAATAACCCCCACCTGTTGTCTGCTTTAAAATCTATCCACCAACCTTAAAAAAAAAAAAAAAAATTTATATGCACATTAATAACAGCACGTTTTTATTTCAGTAATGAGGTTCAATTTTAGTACTTGCTCTTTATCATGGAATGGCATAAACACTCATCCAGGACATAAGCATTCCTTTGGATATTTTATTATTTTCCCAAGACCAATCAAGAAAACCAATCTAGTGACGTATCTCAATTAATGCACCAAACAACCATGCAGCAGCACTACTAATATTAGTACAAGAGGTTTTTGTAGACAGTATTAATGCATAACCTGCATAGAATCCTTGCCATTTCCCAAATGCAGATAAATAGAAAATCGAATTTATAAATATATTTGAAAATCTCTTTCAAATGATATTACTAAGTCATTATACTAAGGAATGCCAAAAAATTCTTGGCCAGATTCACTTCCCAAAAGACCAAACATTAGGATTTTTTTTAAAGAGCATTTTGGTTAGATCAAAACCTTTCAGAGTAACTTTTTTGTTTTTAATCATTTCAACCCTAGCAGGGCAATAAAAACACTAAGACATAAAGGATTACTAAATGTGAGAGAACATGAGGAAAATAAAAACTATTAGTGAGAGAGAACAATAAAGAACAGAAATTAGGAAAAGACAGAAGATAACAATTGACATTGCATTTAAATTTTTCAAGATCAAAGTTGACTGGGAAGCAGGAAACTGGAAAAGTGTTTCACTAGTGAGAAGTGCGAGAGACAAAATTGTCAATACAGAACTTAGTTACATCTAGCCATTTCAACTGTAAAAGGATGAGATCTTGCGCTTAAATTCATAAAGTCTAGGTAACAGAGGAAAGTTCATCAGAACAATTATCATGAAAGTATTTGTAGAAAAGATACAGGGATGCTACATTACAGCAGTGAGAAAGTCACTGAAGCTAAGATACCAGGTCAGGACCAATAACATTGCAGATTTTATCAAGAATCTCTAAATACATAGCGGAACCAACAGACCAGATGTGACAACCATATTTAAGATATGGACAAATGGTAAACTTAGAAATATGTAAGATAGATTCTGGAGTGGAAAAAAAAAAAGAAAAAAAGTCTAGCATGACAGTGAACCAGCTTTCCTAGCAGCAGACCTAGCAATTGATTCCTTAGCCTGAGAAGGCCCAATGAGTCACTCTCCTGGAGGTTAGCATCAGCTATTCTGTTGAAAGGCAGAAAGGGTTCTGTCAGATGATTAATAGAAAGAAGTTTCATTTTGGAAGCATTAAATTAACAAGCCATTCCTTGCCCCAGTTAACAGATCATAGGTCATTTCCGAGATCAGCTGCCAATTTAACCTTATTAACACACGAGTAAGTAGTTGTCATCAGCATAGATAAAGAGTTGAAAACTGATGACATCAGAAAGGCCATTGATGAAAATTAAGAACAAAGTAGGTCTAAGGATAAAACTCTGAGGGACATTTGCATTAATGCAAAAAGATCTAGAAGAGTGGCTGTTCAAGGAAACTTTCATAATTTGATAAGAAAGATTGAATCAGTTCAAATATTTGTCCAGAAATACCATAACCTTTCAAGTTGTGAAGAAAACCTGCCAAACCTTGTCAAATGCTTTCAAGATATCCAAAGCAACAGTACAAGCTTCATTCTTATCTAAAGCTTTTAGCAATAATCATTAATAATAAATCAGCAGTTAATCTAGAAAAGCGAAAGCCATATTGCTTTTTTGTGTGTGTGTGTGTATCTTCTCATTCAAGTATTGTCTTTGATTATGATATTTCATTACACTTTGGCTATGTTATATCTGCAGGTGGAGATATGTATAGTTTCAACTGCATTAATATCGAGGGAAAGCTATGCAAGTTTTTGTAAAAATTTTAATTGAAATAATGTTAAAAAAAATTTTTTTTTACAACAGCTAGCCAACCAATAATGACTCAAGACAAAGTTGTATATAACAGAGGAACAATGCTTCAGGCAGCAGAGGAAACCTACAAACATGCTAAAATAGTTTGCCTGTTCAAAAGATAAATTTTGGAACATACTTTGACGTTAAATTAACAGAGTAGGTAACTGATCAGTTGTTTTTAATGAAACATTTATCTCCCAGGATTATCAATCAACTTATTTTTGATATCAGGCCTTCATTTAATTCACTTATTAAATATTTATAAGATTAACTTAATGCAAGCTGCAAGTATTATAGTTTTAGAACATGGATTTTTCTGGCATTCTTTCAAAAGCACTTGGTTATTATTTGGAAATAATCATAGAGAACATGTAAGAGGTACTTTCACTCCACTGTTGATGACAGAAGTAATTTAAAAAGATTATAGAAGTAATTTTACTTATTTTTCATTTGGTTTTATAGAAGAATCATTAAAATATATTTCCAAAAGAACTCTAGTAACTCAGGGTTAGATTTGAAATCACAATTTACAAATTATTACTGTATGCCTTGAACCAACCCAAACTTAGATGACCTATCTGGAATATACTGCAAAAACTGAATTTTAACAATGACTTGTAAAATAATTACCATTTCTATAGCACCCAAAGCAGTTTGATATGCTAAAAAGTGGGTTGAGCTCAGTTTGTAATCAAAGAATTCAAATATATTTTGGGTGTATGTTCAAGTGTAGTAGCTTTTATCTACAGAAAGGAAGACAAAAGTATGATTAACAAGATTTTATAATGGCCAAGTGATTTGCTAGTCTCTGCAATTTAATTGTTGCATGCAGCAGTCAATAGCAGTATAAATAAAGCAGACAGACTTTGCAGACAAACTTGTTTGGACTTTCATTACCTTTTCACTTACTTATTAAATGTCCATTAAATGGTCACAATTCAATTTGTGCTGGTCTTCTCACTATTGTTCTAATGTTAAGAATATAAAAATATTTTTCATTTATCAATATGTATTAATCTTATGCTGCATGAACTAAAATAAATAAATAAATATTTTAATTGAGTAAAGTTTTCCTCTTAGCAAGAAATTACATTTTTTTTTTAAGATATAGAATAAATTTTTAAAGGGTTTGAGCATTATCATTATTTTGGAAGAGAAAAGAAAAACTTAAAATGTTAAAAATAATTTTTATAAAGTACATTTTAATTTTCCCGAGTGAAAGATCCTTGTCCTACCCAAATTTTAAAACTGAATTTATGTTAAACCAAAAAAAAAAAAAAAAGTTTTCACTAGCATAATTATAAATATCTATCAAATTGAACTGCTATGAGATATCGATGAAACCAAATAAAAATAATAAACCAATTACAGCCCAGTTATTTGCAAAGAATTGAATACCAACAATTAACCCTAAAAATCAACTGACTGGAGGCCAAATAGCTTTACTTTAATTCTTCTGTCAAGTACAATTAGAATGGCAATCTTTTAAAAGTTACCCATTCTCAAGATAAAAGACATTACACATCACGAAAATTGTTTAAAAGGAAATTACCGATCGATTTATCTCTAGCACTCTCCAATGATAAAGAGGGAAAATGACATTAAAAAAAAAAAAAAAAAGCACGGGTAGAGAAGAATTGTGGAGGGAGAGTAATTTGTAAAATTACTGATTTCAATTATGCTTAAACTATTACGATAAGTCATGTAAATTTCCCAATGTAAAAAAAATAAAGGAAATCAAAGACATTTTCTGTAACAATCTAATTCCATGCAACAGAAATTCTTAAATAGAATTGAAGCTATAATCGGCTTTCTTTATTCAAGTAATAAATCTTAAATGAATTATCAAGGAAAACATTGAAGATTAGCTTATTTAAACAATGTAACAGAGTTTATGCTTTTACTTCAGTAAATCACAATTTTAGGTTAATCAAAACACTTACGGTGCCCAACGAAGATTATTAAATTAAAATGAACACCACAACCCTTCTTATTTTTTAGAGCGTTAAGACATTTTTAATTGCGTCATGTTTCAATTTCTGTAAAACGAAAAATGCTTTGTTAATAATATTTTATATATAAAAATAATGTTTTGCAAGCTTTGAAATTAAGCTAAGATGATTCAATTAAAAAAAGGCTTCAATCTTGAGACTGAACCAATTTTTTAAACATTTGCAAAAAGAAAATACGTTTATGATTGAGACCTTTTTGAGATCTGAGAAAAATACTCAACTTGTTGAATCAATAAAACAGAAATAGCGATTCTTAACCTGTTTAAATAAAAAGGCCAGATTATCTCTCTTTTTTAAATATAAACTCGGACAAAATTTAAGTGCTTAAATAACGACATCGCCTTTCATAAGTTAAACAAACCGTGTTGTTTACGCAATGCGAGCAGAAAGAATCGGGTTTCGCCATTCTAACCATGTTAAACTCTTGTTGATGTAAGCAGTAGTAACAATAAAGCTTATTTTTCTTGATAAATTGTCAGGTTTCTAAAATAAAAATATATAGAGAAGAGATAGAAATACAGAAAATGAGTATGCATATATAATATAAACGTACAAACATTATTAAGGATTTTTTTGGCATGCAAAATACAAAAAGTAACATTATTCGAATCGAATGAAAAACCCATATCGAAACCTCATTGTTTCATTAAAACGTGTTGAAACAAAATTAGAGAAGCCACATATATTTTATTAATTGAAATAAGATATATAACGAAGCTTCTGACAAAAGATCAATTGTTATTCAACTGCCATGAGCAAAATAAACATTGATAAAGAGAAAATATAAAAATCAACCAAGTTTTTACCTCTTCAGATGAGCCAAGCGCCATATTGGACGCAGCAAAAGCCAAAAACGGAAGTGATGTCATAATACTTCCAGTTTCGTTTTTTAATGTATTCTATCACTTCCGGTTAGTAGCACCTCGCAATTTTGGAATAATTAATGTTTTACTTAAAGAAAAGTTTGTTTTATAAATAATATAATTTTATGATAAGAAATTTGTAAAAAATTTCAGAGTTTTAAAATTTAAGTTGAAGATATAAATAAATTTAATTCGCAATAATTTAATTTTTGTTAGTAATCAAGTTAATAAAATTATATATTTACTCATGAAATTTACTTTTTTTAAAATCATCTCACCTCAAGCAAGCCAATAAGACATAAGGGGTTATTGAGTGTGAGAGAATATGAGGAAAAAAATTATTAAGGAAAAACAGAACTTAATCAAAAACGACCATAGAATTGATCCTGAATCCAATAATCTTCAATTTTTGAGAACTTCTGACAAAATAAAAATGAAAAAAAAATTCCTTATGTAACGTCCAAAAAAGAATGTGTTTTTAAATTTTCAACATTTATCAAAAACAAACATAAAAATTTCTTATAAGATCTGAACGCAAATTTGAACATTTTATCAAAAAAATAATAAAATATTTAGTGAATTTTGGTGACACTTTTGCACTCTCTACCAAGGACTTCACCTAACTGTAAGTCCCTACTTTCTGATGAAAATGTTTCTCCATCGAGATTAATTTCTTTAGTTATTCAAAAAAAAATTTTGATGAAGATCTACACTCATCTTCCTTTTCACATGAAAAATTTATTATAAATAAACAATTTTTTTCCATTTCACACTGAGTAAATGTCCTTTTTTATTGCCCATTTAAAGTGGTGTTAATTAGTATTTCTTTTGTGTATGGGAAAATCTCCATGGAATTTATGTGAAGGTTGATTTGTCTGTTTTTTACAGCTTATCAACTTTTTGTTGTTTATTTAAAGCCAGAAAATATTTTTAGATTTTAAGAATTTTTTGGAGATAATAACGATTTATTGATATAAGTTCTACCAATTAACCCATAAGTGGGGGAGAATTGGTGGATTTATACCTTTCCTAAGTGAATATAATGAGCAGACTTGACATTGCTTAAACTCTGGTGATCTTATAAGTACCAATGTTTTAATGTGATATGGTCATAAACCTTCATGTGAAGACTGTGAGTGTATGTATGTATGTGCGTATGTGTGGGTAGGTTGCCATTGCTTCTCTTTGATTAGATGGCCTGTGTGTTCAGTGACCAAGTGAATATGTGTATATGTGTGTCTAACAGCATCAGCGAGACAAACAACAAACTCTGATAAAACTGCTGGACATTGTTATTTACATTAGTGTTAGTAGGATTAGATAAGCTATTTTTGTTACTGTTTTTTTTTAAGTTGAAATAGCACATTCTAATTGGTCAACAAATCTAAGAAAGGTTTTCTTTTCAAATTATAGCAACATCTCTGGATGTTGTGGACTGAATACTTTGAAGTCCAAATGAGAAAATATTTGTTTGAAAGGAGCTTTTCTTATTGGCTCTAAAATAATTGTTTATTAGATCTGAATTTGAATTTGCTTTAACACATCCTAAATGAATGACAGCTATTGATTGACAGTTGACTAAACAAATGCAAGATGACAGTTTACTATCACCAATATATCATAAGAGTTTCTTTCATATGCACTATAGGCCAAACATTCAGAGCCAACTTTTGGATTTCAAAGAACTGCCTAAAAACTGAATTGTGGTGGAAAGCAATCATAGTTGTCTTCCCTTCAAACTACTTGACTATAAAAGAAATGGTTGAACCTCACTTAAGTGCAGTAGCCAAATTGCACTGAATATAGCTTCACTACAAGCTTAAATGATCATCTGTTTTTCTTTACAAGTGCCTTTTTCTAAATTAATTTACTAGTTCACATTGGGCAAGAGGGATTTTCTCTTCCTCAAGTTTGGTTTGGTTCGCTTAACAACATATCATCTCCTTATGTGTCATTTAATGCTGAAATTTAATTTCCTTGGAAGCTTTGGTATTTTTTTTTACTATTAAAATCTATTGCTGGAAATGTTTACTATAAAAAATGTATTTCTATACTTTCATAGAGTTTTGTATTTTTTTGGTGGAGTCCCTATTTTTCCATAGCTAGGACCCTAACAAGTGCTGCCACCCTAATCCAGGGTGGACCTGGGAACAATAGCAATTAAGAGGTGGTTCCATGCTCCTCAAGACCTTGTTGCCAAATGTAGTTTATCATCATACACAAGACATTCTTCCTAAAGTGTTTTATCATATATTCAAATAATAATAGTAATGACAAACCCATTACTGCATAAATTTTCCTTAAACTATTACCTCTTTCTGCCTATATCTTGCTAGCTAATAGTAATCTTAGGGCTGGTGGATTTTAAATTTTATATAAACCCTTCTCCCTAAAAGATCAGATGCATGTACTAATGGGTTAAATAGTTTCAGCCTCCTAGCTTAGTAGGAGTTAATTAAACCAAAGAAGGTATAAAAGGTACTAATTATTAAATCCAGAAGGTAGTTCCCAAAACTTTGTCCTATAGTGTATACATGGTAAATATCTGTGGTTAATACTAAATCTGCTTTGTAAGTTCAAATCCATGAACCCTATAACAGAAGAGTAATGAAAGTAACAGGAGGCATGTTGGAGTAATGGATAGCGGCTTTGATTGAGGAATCGGAGGGCCAAGTTCAAATTCCAGTCGAATCCATTACATTCACTTATGTGTTAATACCCTTGGGAAAGGTATGAATCCTCTTCTCCCTCCAGCTATGGGTAAATAGCAGGACAGGCCGGGTTCTGTAGCCTTGGATGGCAACTTGTCTACTGTGGAAAGAAATGGTAAATTACTGCGGGAAAAAAATCTGCCTATTGAAAGATACATGATCACCTAAGCATGTATCACGCATGGCACATAACTGAATGAAAGTAACATAAAAAGTAATGGATATAACATTAAAAGTAATGAAAGTAAAATTAAAAGTAATGAAAGTAACATTAAAAGTAATGAAAATAACATGTTTATGACTTCATTTAGTCTTCTAGACCTTATTCTAAATTTAGATGAGATTGTATTATCAAATGTGCACCATTAAGAATTTTAAAAAATCCATATAAATTGAATTTCTAAAAAAAAAACATAAATTTTATATTCTTGAATTAGAACATATAAATTGACCAACTTCAAACAAAACTTATTTTTTTATTAAATATTAATGAAATGCAATATCGCTACTGTAGCGGAATTATAACTTTAAGTAAATAATTATAAACCCCCTAACATTTGTATATACAAAAATACTCGTAAAAATGAGAAATAGCAAAATATGGTAACAGCAAAACAAGTATTATTTATTATTTGGTTGTTATGTGATGTTGAAGAAATGAGAGACAGTAATAATGAGTAAAATTGGGGTTAAATGTAGATCTAATATCGATCAGAATCCAACAAAAGAATAAGCAAAGTTCTTTCTTGTATGTTTTTTTTTATAGATATGTGTAATGAGTGTCCAGATAATATAGTTGAAAAATTACAAGTGCCAGGGGTTTTCTTACCTTGAATTTTTGTTGAGTGCTACTATTATGGACTGAAAAGAAAAAAAAGAGACAAAACTTTTGTTGATGCACATGTTAACAACCTGTCCGTGTGAATTGCTTATCCAATAGTGAGAATATCACGTGTTTGTGTGAGTAGAGGAGAAAAGTGGGGTCAATTCTCATTGATTTAGAATGAATTAATGATGATTATAATTGTTATAATTATTTTATTGACGCTATAATTAATTTTTATTTATTATTTATGGACACACCATGACAGAATGATTAATTGTTTATGTATTTCTTTATGAACACAGCACACCCAAGAAGAAATCAACTTAAAGTAGAATTTAGTTAGTTTATTATTTACTTTAAAATGACCTACAATCTGCTGTTATTTTAGAAAAGGAATGGCTTGTTAATTTTAATGCCTCAAAACCGAAACTACTCTATTAATCATTGACCCTTTTCTATCTTCAATCAACTAACCTCCAAGTGAGTGATGCATTGCACTTTCATGGGCTAATATTCTTGGCTAACATGAAGTGGAAAGATTATACTGAATCCATTACTAGGTCTGCTGTTAAGAAAGGAAGTTCACTGTGTCATGCTAGACAATTTTTTCTCTCCAGAATCTATCTTACATATTTATAAGTCTACCATATATCTATGCTTTGAATATTGCTGCCACATATAGCTTGGTGCTCCTGCTATATATATAGGGATTCTTGTTAAAATCCAAAGAAGAATAAACAATATAATTGGTCCTGACCTGGCAGCTTGGCTTCAGTCACTTTCTCACCACTGTAATGTAGCTTCCCTGTGCCTTTTGTATAAATATTTTCATGGTAATTGTTCTGATGAACTCCCCACTATGGCCCCGAGACATTATGAATTTAAATGTAGTACAAGATTTGCCACAAGGTCTCCCTTACTTACATTTGAATCGACTAGATGCAACCATAAGTTCTATGCTAACAGTTTCTTCTCTTGCACTTCTTGCTTGTGGAACACTCTTCTAGTGCCATGCTTTCCAACCAACTTTAATCTGCAAAAAATTTAAATGCAATATCAATCATTATCTTCTTGATTACTCTTCTTTTATTATTCTTGCTCCTTAATAATGTTTCTCTTTTTTCTTATTCTTTCACACTCAGTAACCTTTTGTATTTTACTGACTTTACTGCTTCTTGAGGTGAAATGATTAAAAAGAAAAATAACATTTACATATCCTTTAAAACTTGTCTCACATCATGTTGCAAAGTTTCATCTTTCTAACATCTATAATAATTAAATTATTTAAATCTTAATACCTTTCAGCTAACACACTTAGAAATCAATTATTTTTTTAGGAATAATCATATGCCAAGTCATATGTTTATAACACCATGTGTTATATAAAAGATACATGCCAGAGAAAGATGAATTAATTTCCTTCATTTGAAGAAATTCATTATTACAAAGAAGAAAAAAGATTTTGTATCTGAACAAGCCAATCCAAAGGATTTTTAATTATTCACCAAAATGATAAGTAACTTCTTTTTTCTGTTTAGTCACTTTTTCTTTCTCCTCCTCCTCCAAAAAAAAAAAAAAGAAAAGCTTTTTATTTCATCAATCACATAAAGACTTTGTTATAAAAGATAAAATTTAAAACTTTGTCATAAATGCAATGACAAAAGTTATCTTCTGTCTTCTTAATCATGTTCTTTTATTACACTCTTTTCTTAAGAGTGTTTTTTTCTCATATTTACTAACACTCAGTAACCTCTTCTGTCTTGGTGACATTATTGCCTTGCTTCTGTTGAAATGATTAAAAAAAACCTCTGCATAAAAACATTTTAATATATTTTATCAAACTTTGTTTGGTTTGTTTTGTTTTACAACATATCAACCTCAATAGGTTATGTAATGCCGACAACTTCTTTTTCCTGGTAATATTTTGTTTCATCAAAAATCTATTTCTGGTAATATTTTTTCCTCAAAAATATATAGCCGGTAATATTATTTTCAAAAACGTATTGCTGGTAATTTGTTTTTTTTTTCAAATAATAGTAATAGTTTTTTTTCTTCAAAAATGTATTTCTGGTAATAATTTTTTACAAAGTATTTCTGGTGTTAAAACCTATTTTTACACTTTCTTAATGCTTTTTATCTCAGTTTCAGGGTTGACTATTTGCCAATAGCTGGGACCCTAAAAAGTGCTACCACCCTGGGTCAGGGTGGACCTGGAAATACCAGCAATTAAGAGGTGGTTCCACGCTCCTCAAAACCTCCTTACTGTTGGATGTAGTTTATTGTCTTATCTAGGACGCAGATGTAGTTTATCACCATACCCAGGACAGTCAAATTTTGTTGTTCACTCTTTACTTATCACTTTTCGGTAAATTTGCAGAAGTTCAAACAAGGCTTCATAAAAATTGAAACCTCTGCAATATCAAAGACGATTCTTTTTTGTAAACTAGTTATTGGGTTGCTATATGATTCTTTTGTAAATATCTTATCAATCTTCCCTTTCACTTCTTTTTGTCAGTATACAAGTCAAGATTTGATAGTTTGTGGTTAGCATAAAACTTTAAGTATCAACAATATATTGGAAACAGATTGCTATTTATTTAGTTGCACCTTGTCTCTGCTTAAGTCAACTGGAGAGGAATTCACATAATTAATAATTGAAGTGTCTGTCTGCTATAGACTTAGAAATTCCTGGATTGATTTCATCTAAACTTGGCATGCATATAGGATATGACTCAGGGAGTTTCATAGGCTGTGAAGAGTTGACCTATATCACCTTGAAAGGTAAAAAAAAAAACAAAAAAAAGTTCAAGCCATTTCTCATGGAATTTAAATATTTATTCCCACATTAAAAAAAATAACTACAGTGATAAGGAAGGTAAATCAACTTTTGTCTATAAAGTAATGCATAGTTATTTCCCTTTAGTCATTTTAATAATCTATACAAATAAAATGAAATGTCTGTCAGCATGTCTTTTCATTTAGACAAAATTAGTTCCTGGGCAACACCAAACACTTCTGCTAGTAACCAATAACTAATTTTTTTGTTAACAAAGAAAAAGTAGACATCAGTTTTTGATTCCTTCTGTTGAAGTATGTCACACCTACAAAATTTCACCATATTTTTGTCAATACTAAAAATAGATTGACACATAATAATGCTAATAACAAGGCTCAACACACACCCAAAGCCACAGTGAATTCTTCCTCATGTGTATTTATATATCTAAACACCATACTCAAGCTTGCTGACAAAGAAATACCATTCAGTGTTACTCAACTTCTGCCAACATGCTAACTCTGAAAAAGACACAGATAAGAAATTTCAGTACCTCCTTGTTCTGCTAGGTATGTATTCACTCCTTATATCATACACTATACACACTGATTTAAATTTTAGTGCTAGGAATATCTTTTACTCCATTTTCATCTTCTCATATATGAACTTTAAGTCATTCATAAATAACTTTGTCTACACTTATATTCTTTCCTGCATTTTGTATTTGAATTTTTTGTTGTTTTTTATTGTTTCCATTTCATCCTAAATCTTGTATCTCATTCCAAATGTACATGTATGTATATTATTATGTATGTATATTATTCTCTTGCACTAAGTAGTTTGTTTATTTGATGGCATATCAACTCCTTATGGCTTATTTAATGCCAAAATTTAATTAGCATAAGTAATTTCTTCTACAATAATGTATTTCTGGTAATACTTTTTTTCAAAATTATATTGCTGGTAATATTTTTAATTTTTTACCAAAACTTATTGCTAGTAATTTTAAAACTATGAAAATGTATTGCTGGCATCTTCACTATAAAAATGTATTTCTACATTCTCAGAGTTTTGACCCCAGTTTGGGGGTTAACAATTTGCCCATAGCTGGGCCCTAACAGGTGCTAACACCCCATGTCAGGGTGGACCTGGGAACAAGAGCAATTAAGAAGTGGTTTTACGCTCCTCAAAAACTCCCAATCAGAGACTGGATATAGTTTATCGTCTTACCAGGACTAACAAGATAGTGTCCAAATGTGAGTGTACATTCTTTTATAAACATTGTTTTTTATGCCTCAGGACACATTAGACATCTACAAATGATTCTTTTATTAAAGATTCAATTTTTAAAAGGCCAAGTCCCAAGCCTTGTACTCAATTTCTCAAACGACACTGGTTGTTTTTTTTTTACTTCTCATTCAGTTTTGTGTATTTATATATGTATATTGGTATGAGCTTATGATTCCTAGTGTATTAACATTAAGTACTCCTTACAACCATCAATAAGATTTATAAATGTGACACTAGCTAGATATCTTTCTGCCAGAATACAATACTTCTTATATAACATGTAGATAATTATATAACTATTTGAGGGGTATTTTTAGTTAGCCTCAAAATATTTATATATTAAGACATATTTCAGTTTAAATCATAAACATTTTCAGGGAAATACAAACGAACAAGAACAAAGAATAACTACATAGACCATGTTTACTACTACTGACATCAAGTGTGTAGTGTTGACATATGAGTGAATGAGTGAGTGAGTGAGAAAAGTAGAGAGAAAGCAAGACACCATTATAATTGCTGTGTGAAACCCTAAGAGAAAGAGGAAGATTTTTAAATTGATGCTGCTTATCTTCTATCTTCATATATGACAACTGTAATGTAACATGACTACATATTTCTTATTACTAGAAACGTTATTTTTAGTTTGTACACTTGTTTGAATTGATATAGAGATGCAAACACAAATACATGAACTCACAAAAATAATTTTTATAAGAAGAAATAATGCTAGATTAAAATATCTATTGAAAAATAACTTCATATTGAAGAGGAATAAAACTCCATTTTCGTCACTTATTTATTTTATATGTGAATGTTGGTTGGTTGTTTAGCAGTATATCAACACTTCTATGGATTATTTAATGCTAAAATCTAAATATTTGGGTTTTGGTTGGTTGATTTTGTTTAGCAGCATATCAAAACCTCTATGGGTTATTTAATGCTGAAATCTAAATATTTGGATTTTGGTTGGTTGGTTGATTTTGTTTAGCAGTATATCAACACCTCTATGGGTTATTTAATGCCAAAATCTAAATATTTGTGTTTTGGTTGGTTGGTTGATTTTGTTTAGCAAGATATCATCAACTCTATGGGTTATTTAATGCCAAAATCTAAATATTTGTCTTTTGGTTGGTTGTTTGGTAGATTTTGTTTAGTGGCACATCAATACCTCTATGGATTATTTAATGCCAAAATCTAAATATTTGGGTTTTGGTTGGTTGATTTTATTTAGCAGCATATCAACACCTCTATGGGTTATTTAATGCCGAAATCTAAATATTTGGATTTTGGTTGGTTGGTTGATTTTGTTTAGCAGTATATCAACACCTCTATGGGTTATTTAATGCCAAAATCTAAATATTTGTGTTTTGGTTGGTTGGTTGATTTTGTTTAGCAAGATATCATCAACTCTATGGGTTATTTAATGCCAAAATCTAAATATTTGTCTTTTGGTTGGTTGTTTGGTAGATTTTGTTTAGTGGCACATCAATACCTCTATGGATTATTTAATGCCAAAATCTAAATATTTGGGTTTTGGTTGGTTGATTTTATTTAGCAGCATATCAACACCTCTATGGGTTATTTAATGCCGAAATCTAAATATTTGTGTTTTGGTTGGTTGGTTGATTTTGTTTAGCAACATATCAACACCTCTATGGGTTATTTAATGCCGAAATCTAAATATTTTGTATGCAATTTTTCTTTTCTTTTATTTTTAAAGTTAATAATGGTGTTAGTGATACAAGTCTCACTAATTAACCTGTAGGTGGATGAGGAGGAGGTGGATTCATACCTTTCCCAAATGTATTTGCATGTAAGTGAATACAATGAACCAAACTCAGTTCTCCAATTAACAATTCTGAGCGACTATCCATTACACCACTCTCACATCCAACTTTACAGTACCTGGTATTCCCAAGTGGTCACCCATCTAGATACTGATCAGGTTTGACATTGCTTAACTTCAGTGATCATACGGGAACCAGTGTTCCAATGTGATGTAAACCTATGCATGAATGTTACAATTATTTGTTATGTGTCTATGCAAATGTTACATTTATTTTTTTTTTATTGATATGTGAATGTTACAATTATTTATTTATTTATATGTGTTCAAGGGAATATTACAATTATTTTTATGTGTATGCAAATATCACAATTATTTTTCTGTATGGAAATGTTACAATTACTTATTTTTATGCATGAATGTGAGTGTTACATTTATTTTCCTGTGTAGTTGAATGTTACATTTATTTATTTTGTATATATGAGAATGTTACAATTATTTTTATGCATGTTTTCAAATGTTACAGTTGTCTTTATGCAAGTATGCAAATGTCAATTATTTTTATATGCGAAAGTTACAATCATATTAATCATTTCACTACAAGCAAGGTAATAAAGCCACTAAGACAAAGGGCTACTGATTGTGAAAGAATAAGGAAAAAAAAACATTAAGGAACAAGAACAATAAAAAAAGAGTAATCAAGAACAGAGGAGATAACAATTGACATTGCATTTAAATTTTTGAAGAGTAATGTTGACTGGAAAGAAAGAACATGGAAGAGTTCCACAAGTGAGAAAAAATATTAGCATAGAATTTAGTTATATCTAGCCATTTCAATTGTAAAATAATGAGAATGTTCTACCAATCTAATATTGCATTTAAATTTATGGTAGAAAGATCACCAGGACAATTACCATGAAAGTTACAGAAAAGGCACTCATCTGTCATCATTCCCTACTACAGAGTTATTTATTGCAATAACTATGTGGTAGTGAATACTTTCATGGTAATTATTCTGATGATCCATAAATTTAAATGCAGTTTGGTGGGATATTCTCATTATTCAATTGAAACAATTGCAGCACAGGGCCAAGGTGGGGAAGTGGGATAAGACTTGTCAATATTTTCTATCTTAGACCTAGCTAATTAGATTCATGATCCATGCATTCTTTACAATTTGTTCATTCACTACAAAAACTCATCAATCATCATTCAATGCTACATATAGTACAATACCACAAATTCTCAGGGAACCTACAAAAAACCCATGACATAAAAAGTTTCTTATGTACAAACAGTTCAAATGTCTCTCTTTTTTTTTCTTTTTCTTTTTTACTCTTTCGACACAATAACTACGGAAGAAAATAGTGAATTTTATATAGTGTTTTTTCACGACTTAGCATGAGCAACACAAATTCATGGATTTGTATGACAAAAAAAGACTCCAGAATGATGTCAAAATCTGCAAACATTTTTCATCATTTAATAGTCAGTTGTGCTTAGTTTAATTTGTAACGTATATAAATGTAGGTAGAAAAAACACAAGTAAGATAGTTAGGATCACAATGCAGTGCCCGGGCCTCCCAATCAAGCTTGCCCTCATTCAGGAGGTTTTGGGTAGGATGCGCCGGCCCTGACTATACTGAACACCATTCTACTGGACATATTGATAAAAAATACCAATCTGAAAATTACTCAAAATAACTAAATGTAAGAGATTCCCAAAAGAATGATTGTATGAGATTCCCAAAAGACCTAATATATTATTGCCGGAAAGAAAAGTATTATCATTTTATGCCTCCTAGTACATTTGTCCAGCAAACAATATTTGGCAGATTCATGTGAGTCTGAATAAAAGACAACACACAAAACGGAATTAAAATAAACGACAGTTAATCAATGTATTAACATGATATATTACATTATGTGATAAAGTAATATATGTTACATTATGTGATAAAGTAATAGATGTTTCATTATGTGATAAGGTAATATATGTTACTTTATGTGATATATAAAGTAATATATGTCATACATTACGTGATATATAAATATGTTACATTATGTGATAAAGTAATGTTACATTATGTGATATGTAAAGTAATATGTTACATTGTGATAAAAGTAATATATGTTACTTTATGTGATATATGAAGTAATATATGTTATAATATATGTTAAACATTATGTGATACAAATATGTTACATTATGTGATATATAAATATATGTTACATTATGTGATAAAGTGATATGTGTTACATTATATGATATATAAAGTAATATATTTTACATTATGTGATTTATAAATAATATATGTTACATTAAAATGATATATAAAGTAATATATGTTACATTATATGATATATAAAATATATGTTACATTATGTCATAGAGAAAGTAATATGTTACATTATGTGATGTATAAATATATGTTATATGATATATAAAGTAATATATGCTACATTATGTGATAAAGTAATATATATTACATTATGTGATATATAAAGTAATATATGTTACATTATGTGATAAAGTAATATATGTTACTTTATGTGATAAAGTAAGAAATGAAGTTGAAGTTATGAATAGTTCAATACAATCTTGAGTTTATATCTCTGAAGTACTTAAATGCTTCATGTCTATCAGAGTGAAAGGAAACATGTGTTGCCATTCCAAAAGTAGAGAATAAAACAAGAGTCTTTTTAATGTCGAGCTGCCTGTGATTATCATCAGGGGGCAGTAATCTAAAAATATTTTAAACAATAATATATCTAATGTAAGATATCTTCAAAAGAGTCATTGTAAGTGATATCCAAAAGAATTAATGTTAGAGACTCCCAAAACATCTAATGTAAGAAATCCCTCCCAAAAGATGTAATGTAGCTAAACCCCCAAAGAATGAATGTTACAGATCCTCAAATTTGGATTCAGGTGGATGAAAGAGTTAGTTCATAAATGTGTTCGTATAGTAATTGTGAGTTCAATTCCTGCTCACCCCGGTTTTCTCTTGGATTCAGTGGAAATGGGACAAGAAATAATTGACCCTACTAAATAATAACTAGATGAGATATCTCTAGAAACGGGCAGCAGAATGAGCACAATCTACACCTGCAGATAAAGGGTTCAGTTTGAAATTACCTGAAAGTCATTTGGTGAAGTCCAGGGAACTGAAGGGCCGAAACATTGTAATAATAGCAACAAAGATGAGGATAATGTGACAGCATGTAAATAATAAACATAAATGTAAGTAATAATTTTTTTTAAAATGTAAAATAAAGAAAGAAAATTAAAGAAATTCTAAATGGCAAAAAATAAATCTGCAGACATATAGACATTAAACCATATTTCCAACACTATTACATACCCACATATGTCAGTCAGTTATGTGCCATGCATGATACACACTTAGGCAATCATGTATCTTTTGATACATGACTGACAAGGCAGATTTTTTCCCACAGTAGGTTTCCATTTCTTTCTGAGGTAGACCAGTTGCCATCCAAGTCTATAGAACTCAGTCTCTCCCACTATTTACACATAGCCATGATCAGTTGCCATCCAAGGCTATAGAACCCGGTCTATCCTGCTATTTACCCATAGCTGGGGGGAGAAGAAGAGGATTCATACCTCTTCCCAAGTGTATTAGCATGTAAGTGAATGTAATAGATTCAACTGGATTTCTAACTCAGCTCTTCGATTCCTCAATCTGAGCCGTTATCCATTACTCCACCCATATACATACAATTAAAACACCCCCAAACTTTATTTTTACCCAATACCATACAATATTACAAACATGCCAAAAAGATTCTACAATACAACACACGCTGTTTAAATCAAAGTGTCTAGTGGTTAGAAATTAACATCACCGTTTGAAATATTTGAACAATCAGAAAACTAAAACCCTATTTTTCTCGAGCCTGCTTTTGGGAAAAAAATTCTTATAAAAACCCACAGATTTCGACTTTCAGAGAACATAGATGTGACTATTTCCAAGCTGAAGAGAAGACATGACTTCACAGCTTTTTCTTTCCTGTCAGTACCTGCTGAAAGAAACATATGTCGGCGATTTCAAATGAATCAGCTAAGACAACAACAGTTTGGACAGTCAGTGAATTTTCGCTGACAATCATATGTCGGCAACTTCAAACAAATAATCTCCAGCAACAACAAAGATGTTCAGTGGATCTTCTTTAACTATAAAAGTCTTTTCTCAACCACAGATATTTTTTGTAGACCAATTATTTAAAAGTCTTTTCTCAACTACAGATTTTCTATAAACCAACTAAAGACTATTTATAATAATTTTTAACTCCTTTGAATTCTTATACATGTTTGTAAATATGAATTATTTATTTAACAGGCATAATCATGTTTATTTTGTTTTTTAAATATTGTTTGGAATTTGGATTTTTTAATATTAAAAAACTTAGATGACAGAATTTCCTACAGATATTTCTATTTAGGTACCGCCACAAACTTTCTAAAAAAAAAAAAGAAAAAAAAAAAAGAAAAACGAACCTAAAAATAAATGAACTTAAACTTTGGTTCTATTTAAAAGATAATGGTTTAAAGTTAATCCAAATTAAAGGAAAAATTAACTTCTGCATAGAAATCATCTTTTTATGCATTTTTAAAGAATTAATACTTTTTTGTAGGTACCTTCATGAGATCGCTAAAAAGAGCATAGCGTGATGAAAAAGATGCCAAACTTCACAAAAACAAAATTTTAGCATCTAAATGTTTATGTTATTAAGAGGAAACAAAGTATTTTTTAATTATTTTTAAAAAATTTTCCCTCTTTTTAGAACATTCTAAGTTTTGATTGAAAAGCCTTGTTTCTCTGCATGGCCAGCGGAACTACTAAGTAACATATAAAATTTTAACGCATTTTTTTTTCTGTATGACAGACATTAATTTTGAAAATCTTGCAAAAATAAAAATAATTGTCAGATTTTAATAAAACTTTCAGAAACTATTCACAAATGATGGAACTTATAAATATGTTTTGCTTTTTTAAAGTCATGGCAAAAAGTTTTTTTTTCATATGTTTTACGCCCCCCCAAAAAAAAAAAACTAATTGATATGAAAACTCTTCAATTTAAATTTTGGGCAGATTAGTGATTATATTAGTTAAAAGCACAAGGCTTTGAGGAAAAAAAAATCATTTTTTTTTTTTTTTTTTTAGTTGGACCACCTCTACCTG